TACCCCACCTTATTATTAGCCCTTTCTACTACGAGCCGAAACAGCTTAAGGCAAATTTGCAGATGCTTGCAGTTAGTTACCAGTAACGCTTAACTACCTGATAGCATTCATCGAACAGCCGTCTTGACCTTTTATTGGTTCTGCTTTTAGACGAAAGGTGTGTAATAAGATGTTTAGCGGTAGCTGAATCAGTATTAGTGCACATAAACGGTGCCTGCGGTGGCGTAGTAGAAGAACGAGACTTCATTATTAATTTAAGATCGCGCAATGATACTCATCATTGTAATGATAATTAATGGTATAAGTATATTCTCTAATCCATCGGCTCAAAGTGAACAACGTTGAAGTACAGGGATATTATTATTATATGGCCAACCAGAAGCAGCAAGACGGAGCTCATTTTCGTAGTTATTCCACCATCGTCTATTTTTCGTATTAACGTGGGGTCTTCAAAGAGGAGCTGTCGCCTGCTCAGCTGGCAATGATATAGTCTGCTGGCGACGGTTCCGATCGAGAAATGAAAGATCCCAGGGCAAATCCTATCGCAGTTAAGTCAATACAATTAATCAATTTGCACAGAATACAGTATATCTGCCTTTAGTTGTTGAAAACGTCCCGAAGCGTTCCAAACTGAAGCGTACGCAAAGCTATTGACTTGTTGAGTCGAGTAAAAAAAAAACCTCGTAAAATAGTACATATTTAGGACTCGTAGAGTGTTTAGATGTAAAGCAGAATACACAACCTTAAATAGTAAAATTGCTGTATAAAGCGCATAAAACAATTATTTCTGCGTCTGTTTTGACTCATTGCAAAAGCACTCTCGTGTCAAAAAGGCCAATGCCTCACTTCTTTCAGCGGTATCCCATGTCATCCTTGTTCATCATAGCCCTAGAACAGACTCGTTCAGTATATAAATGTCTCTTGAAGATGGCTCGCTGAATTCTGTAGTTTTTTTCTTATTCTCGATAATTATTTTTCTCAGTCCTCTATCTAACAAGATGACCCCACCCGCGCGAGCCATTACAACGCTGAATCGACTGCAGAGAGAATTTCGGAAGTATGATTTTTAAATGATAGGGAACGACTTTCTCAAGCCAGAACGGAACATCAGACTCCGAACGATGTTCTTGTTAAAAAAAATTTTACGTCGAATTGCAGTCAATGCTCATGGGCTCAGCCACAGAAGATTTCTGTCGCCTTCTGTTAGCAGCGCTTGACATACATATTCAATGATTTCAAGCGTTAAACCCTTTAATAGGTGACTGCCTCGCTAACCTAACCAATATATGTATGTATATGCAACATGTGCTTTGCCACAAGACAAAGGACCTCGCCTGGCTCTAATCGTTAAGAGCATGATCGGAAGATCAGAGTCGGCGGTGGAGTAAGCTCTCGAATAGTCTCATCGACCACTGCCTTTTATATTATCTTAATACACAGTACATAGAGAGGCCAGACTGCTGTATATGTTAACGTGGTGAGATTTGAGTGCTATTCATTGCAGCCTGGCACACTGGGGAGAAAACTGACAACGGTAAAATGTCGCTTATTAACTTAACACATGAATACTTGATTCGCCAACAAATGCCGCCAGGCCAGGGGGCCAAAATAGAGCTTTGAAAAGCCGTTATACTTTCATTTGCCAACGCTTAAGGGATGTGTCCACGTCACTACTTGACGCGACAAAGGTACCCTACCGATATGGAACGTAAAGTGCGGAATAACCTCAATCCTATTTGGATTTCAACGTATTTTACCGCCTACCTGTGTATAATCCCTACTTGGCTAACACAAAAAACAACGAACGCCCTACTACACAAAGGTAAAGCAGAGACCTTAACAGAGCGGTAAGCTTGTGCATTTCGTCCATCACCTATTTTATGGGACTTGAGAGTAGACTGTTTATCATCATCTAAACTGATTTGACTTTCCCAATCCATAGATTTACTCCCCATACTCTCAAAATCGGCTGAATATTTTCGCGAGCGAGCTGCTTATCTATATGGTAACACATATGGATGCATAATGGTAAAAACAGTAGTATAAGGACGTCACAACGAATACGATTAAATAGTCACAATAGACGATAGATTACATATACGGCTACTAATCGGAACAAATAAATGTCAAACTTAGTAAAAATTAGTAAATAAACTTAGTAAAAAAAGAAGAACAGAAGTAATTATTGCTATTAATGGTTCATGTTAATCGTATCTATAAATGTTGAGAAAAAATTAAATACTATATTGAAGCAAAACATGGTACGTAGGAATGATTTGGCGCCTCCTATCTATCTCTCGTTTCCGCATCTATTAGCACGGTCGATCGTATTCGTTTGCACGAGTTCTATGCAGACATGTGATGTACTTGAAGCCTAGTTTGAGCATTCAAGCCGTGTCACTATATACCTATAGAAGGTTAAGCGCGTTTGATCCGTCTCCGCATGTATAACTAGCTACCAATCTTGCATTTCGCAGGTCCTATTTACATTTGCATGTGACGTTTGTCTGTTTTCGCGTCATCTTCACATTTATCTTTAGCGCCGTCACCGCACAGGCGAGTGTTTCTTCCAAAACGCCCAGAAAATATGATCCACGTTACTGGTAGCGTTGCCGTTTTTATCAATTGGTTGCCCGCGACCACGTCAGTGTCAGAGGGGCAGATGACGGCGGCTAGTGTGTGCAAGAAGACGTTTGCTCTCCTTCGAATGACTGCGGTACGGGCAGCGTTTTACAGAACAGCCCCCATCAGGGCGGAATGGCAGGGGCGATGTGTGCGGCAACCATGACAGCAAAACCTGCCGTGACACGACTACCGCGATGAACAACAACGAAAAGTGAACCTTGGGCTCCGGTTTCGCAAATTGCCCCCCTCAACAAACGCCGCAGATCAACAAAATGAACGCCGACAAAAAGAAAGAAAACATAATTTCTTGTGTAGCTCCCCGAATTCACCATGCCGCTTTTCATTGCTCGCCGATTACCCGGCTGAGGCGTGGATGTCTCATGGCCACGAACTCGAAATGTGTGCTTAGATATTAGCGTGGAATTGACAAACCCTACGTGGTCATTAGGACGAAGCGAGACGGGGTAATACCAATCGAATTGCTAGTCTTGATCCTATACGCTCTACATCATAGGTTAACGGACGTTATCTTGAGCAGAAGACCAAGAGCTAAAGCTATTAGAGCAATACACGTTGAAACGTTCTGGCTATTAAGGACGAAGAAGACGCTGTCTCCTGCCAAGCAGCAGGAACGGATAAGGGATGCTGTTGAATAGAAAATTGTCTTTTCCTGAGAAGGTTGCAGAGCCTGGTAATATTTGGCTGATAAGAATACTGTAAGATCAAACGGGTTCTACCATTCAGTACTTGGGGCTCTACGGAGTTCTTAATAGCAAGAACTGTTTCTCGTACAACATTTCATCGGTCTCTCATTACAGATATATATATGGCAGGCTGGTTAAGGGAATGCAGTAGGTTTTTTCGTGGTAGCTTGTCTTACAATCCACATAGGACAACCCAGGGTTCCATTTTCCTTCCCATTACTCTTTCTCTTGAAGTTCAGCTTGGAATGACCTCTGTCGTAACATTTCGATTAGCGCTAGTCGATTAGGTCGACTAGCGCGACCTTAGTTGGTCCTGTTATTTGGCCTAGTTTAGTTGATGAGCTAATGTCTAAACTAATTTTGAAAATGTTATTAACTCGCATATTTCCATAACTCATAAGCAGTTAAGGGAACATCTAATATTTTTATGATGCTTTCTGTGCACAACTCTAGGTTTAGTAATAAATAGCTGGCGTGGGATGCATGTAGATTATTTCCCATAACGACCACACAATATTTACAATGATAGAATAGTATATCGTTATTTAACTAGATAAGCTTTGAACACACATAGGATATTTCCACTTTAAACTTGTTTTGCTCTTGTGCATGCATCGTTTACAAGGCTGCGTCTTACGGCATGCTGTCGGCTACATCCTATGTATCTAGACAACGCAGTAAAATGGTAAATCACCCGAGTAACTACGTTGTTTTCGAGAAATGGCATTTGCGACGTTTACGTCTACGCACTATTATACGCTTCCGCTTCAAACAGTCTCAGATGGTCGTTGACGTTTGACAGCAACTACTCGCTCGCCTTCGTTTGCCTTTTTCGCGGCAGGACAGTAGGCTTACGACGGGGGGCCGGGCCGCTGTTTGGTTTCACTGCCTGCAGCGACTCGGTTCAACAGAAGAAAAACAATGTGTAGTTGTCCGTAGGTCCTTTAAACGACAACGAACAGTTACATCGTATCAAACAGAGAGAGGATGTGGTGGAGCGAAAACTAGAATGCAGGGTCGCCCGCTGACGAGCTGGAAGGCGATAAGATCGGTTGGCCGAAAAGAAAAGAAATAATTGAAAATTGGGCACGACCAACTGGAGGCGAAAGCCAAATCAAAAGCGCATGCTACATACCAAGAATGGTGGGCAAACAACGGTAGGATCATACCTGTTTGCTTTCTAGCCCTAACGTAATTATTCGTGGGTCTTGCAAAATCGCCGAATCGCCTTATTTCCAGCGCCCTTTTTGGCTACACGTTTAAGTGTGGTTAGGGAGGAGGTAGGGAAGAGCCCACGCAGGTGATTTACAGGCGCTAGAAACGCGTAGATTTCGTTTATTTGAACATGTGAGTCAATGAGGCCCATAGTTACTGGACCTTACTGAAGAGGATTAAATCGTTACTTTTGGGTGATTATATAGATTAGTAGATTTCTGTTAGTCAAAGAATTTTATCGACCGAATTTCAAAGCGACTTCAAAAGCAATTACTACTACTCATGAGCGTCCCGTACTAGAAGAAGACTGTAATTGTAATGCATAAAAATGTAACTGGGGAAACCCGAAAAGAAGGTAGCACAGTGATTAATGTACATCTGTCGGTCGAGGACGTATGCGATACTAAGCGGATGAACACAAGATACTGTGATACAGAAATAACACGAACTACTTACAGTGGGATGAAAATATTTGCAATCGTCAGCGACTTCAGAACGAGTCTTCATCCAAGCTGTTCATATGTCGGCAAACAATCTGTAGCACGGTGGGCAAGTAGCAGAAACAACCAGTCACCATAGGTCCTGCTTGCATAACTTTTGTCTCACCAAAGCTGAAGCAAAGAAGAATATCAGATAGCACAGGGTAAACGGACTAGATATACATGAGGGGTGGAAGAAAAAATACGAGACAACTGGAAAGTTTCGTACAAATTGCCGAAGGGGCAAAAGCAAAATGGAAATTGGGGCTAGAACCAAAGGGGCATCAGCGTAGTGATGAAATTCGTTGAGTTGCTGCGAGCCAAATCGAGAAGGTTAACGGGTAGTAACATGAAAGGGAGAGAGAGAGGGAGAGAGAGAGGGAGAGAGAGAGAGAGAGAGAGAGAGAGAGAGAGAGAGAGAGAGAGAGAGAGAGAGAGAGAGAGAGAGAGAGAGAGAGAGAGAGAAAAGACTTATGCGATCGCGTACGGAGGGCGAGTGTACGAAAGAACTTGAGACAGTAGGCCGTTATCATTCAACGCCAAGTTGGTAAACTGATAAAGACCAGGTGACTACGATATCGCAATCAGCCTTTTTACCCTTAGTTCACTGGACTACTCAACAGTGGACCTTTCTGGCAACAATCTTGCTCTCCAGACCCACGACACTCCAGATCCTACAAATGTAGCATTATTTCAATTAGCCTATATCCTTAGAGGTGCAACGGACGCGGCTTTACTGAAGTACGAGTTCCCGTTATCCGATACAGCAATGGTAAAAAATCGGTTTCATTGAAATCGGATAATCTGAAATTTCTTCATTGATCAACTGACCGATACGTTTTCATGATTGTCGAGGTCTTATCACCGGTATAACACTATTCTCGTGTGAACTCGCTAATCCCTTATCGAATTCCGAAGAAGCCATCTGAAGATTGAACTTAAGCACCGTTCGACCAAAATCCCTGCCTCATGCAGTAAAAAAAAAAGTCAGTAATAAAGAAGGTGAACACTTTTGGCTCAGCTTAAATACTTTTCGTGTTATGCTACTAAACGATAGCTCACTTGTTCTGACAAATTCGAATATTTGGTTATCGCATTCGTAAAGAGGAGAGCATGAGAAAAGGTAAAGCCTAATGAGATAAGAACTCTTCTGGCTCCACAAGGCTAACGAACGTAATATGCGTAGAAAAGCAGTGGCAAATAGGTCCAGGTGCCCCGATAGACTAATAAAAATTTTCCTGGCTAAAATAAGAGAGCGTACTTTATTCGCGAGTTCGGTGGCATCAAAGGGAAGTTCGAGTTCAGCGCGGCATGTCTTTAAGAGAACCACGTAGGTAGTCTCTTAGCGGTATGAAGCGAACCTCTATATTGAGTTAGTAATACTAAAAATACGTTGCATTTATTTGCGTCATTGTATCTTCATTTAATGTGGCCAAGAACGCCGCGATATTGATGGTCCTGCGGACGCAGTGTTTAACACTCCCTTTAAACTGCCATTTTCATATAAGAATTTCCTCATATATCGAGTGTTACGTTCAATATCGCCGTGAGGCAATCCATTGGCTCCTAATACGAAACGAAGTGTATCCATTCTTAACCCAGTTCAAACCCAGATCACTAGACGTTCCTAAACACGCTACCCACTAGGCCATCACGAGTATATATATAGGAGTCTCCGGTCATTCGTTTTGATATTGGGCATGTTCTTGCGTAATAACCAGGCTGGCTCTGCGCCATCAAACTATCTAATTATGGAGCTCCGTAAAAATTTTATCGTTAATGACGGCAAAAGCTTTGCATACGCTTGATCGCTAAACTTAGCTATTGATGGAACAATAGCTTTCAGATAGTTCATACAATTCAGGTTGGACCACGATTCACTTGACCCACGGGGCTCGTCTATGGCTAGTGAATCCTATAAAGGGACGTTTCAAAAATCAATGTAAGTGATTTAATTTAAAATATTTTGTAATTTCAAGTATGACCCTGCCCTTTACATTCGCACGTGTCTATATTGCTATGAAATTTGTATAAAAAAGCATTCGTTAAAACAGTCAGAACAAAATCGACTTCTCAGTTAATTCGTCAACGATTATTATTAACATTGTATTGTTTATGTACAATGCAACTAGAGCTATAAAAATACCCGCCGAAATGATATTCTGATTTGTTTTCAGATAAATCCTGAATAATGCCTCGGATTATATTTCATTTTGCTCAGACCTATTTGCTCTTTACGTCATTCGTGCACTTCATGTAATCAACTTTTCTTCAGAAAAAAGCAACATGAACATACGTCAGCAACAGTTTCCTCAGATGTCGTAACTCCAGCCAGGGCAGCTACGTCGTTCTCTGAGACTTCTCTCTCAGGATCACGCTGCGTTCGGTGCGTTCGTTGTTGACTAGAACGACTGTGCTTGCCTCCGATGCGGACAGCGACATCAGCAGGTGGTCCGTGGCACTCCTATCAAGCGCCTCAACCCCAACCCCCGTCTTAAGAAGCAAGCAGACCTACAAACTCTGTTTTTTTCTAAGCCCCTTTATTCCCCTTAGGGCTAAACGCACTTTCCCCAATATGCTGTTAACGGTGGATCCCAAGTATAGCCTCGCTTGGGGAATATCCAAACGGCAAGCATTACCGACATACAGGTTAAGAGGGGCTAGGCAGAGATCAGGGAATTCTATAAGGGCCTTAAGGTCTTGCAAAGTGTTTGGGTTTGTCCTGTCTGTCAGGATCTTTAGCGCTACAGAAGGCTAACGAAAAGGGGGGCGAGATTAGGGCCGACTGCATAGACTTCTACTGTCGATGTGTATTTGCATGTACTCGATGTTGCAGCAAGGGCGAAGGCATCGATCCGAGCTGGTTCGCGCGGTTCAATGGATCTGGTCGGTTCTCCCAGGGGGTGGATCTAGCATAGTTGGACTTTTCCCCGGATAGAACGAGCTGGAAGTTGTCAGTACATATCGTGTCACCGTGCTGACATTATTACCGCATGCCTTACTCCCACGCCAGGGGAAGACAGGACGGAACTCTTGCTTTGAAAGGGGTCTCTCTGTTGGTGAATAACAAAATGGAAATTAACGAAAATAAGCCACGTCGAGCTGCTTATTGTCGCAGTCGATGAGCTGTGTAATTGTATAACATATTTGCTTTCAAATAAAAACGACCGTAGTAATAAAAAAATATTAACGCTTCGTGTGCTTAATAGTTTTGCGTTTCACATCTTAACGTAAGCCATGCCCTTACACCTACATTCTGAGTGGTTGAAATACACGGCTAGCTTCTCATTCACTTTCGAATACAAGCATAATTTATAATTCATGCTTTGTTAGACGTTTTTCTTATAATTACTTTCTGTAGTCCTTTTCTGACCAATTCTAATATATATCTAAATACTGCGGAGAGTTTATGGCGGAAACCGCTACGCCACTGTCATGAGGCTACCGTACATTGCTCAACATAATCTTCCCACAACTGGGCCCACACAGATATCGAACCGTTAAAAAAACAGACTTGATACATTGATAAGACACACATGACACATCTCTCTTTCTTTTTAATAACCTGTTAACCGCTTTCCTTTTTTAAGGTATCCATTGTCGTTACCCAATGGTACTGTTTCGTTTCAAGCCCCCTGTGTTTCGAGTTTGACCCCTAGTATCGCCGTACAGTATTCCATCGGACGGATGGCAGGCCCCCATGGCATCATGAAACGAAGTATTTCGCTTCAAGTCTAGTAACACTAAATGGGCTCATGCTATGTACTCTGCTACCTCCCGGATAAAGTTGTACAGCAAAGACGAAGACCGATATCCTATTTCCCACCGCTTGCATAAACCCAACGTTCATTCTGATTCCAGACGTCGTCGAGAAGAGCGGCTGTATAGCTTATCCACAGCTTCGACCTTGTGAGCGAAGTGTCGATGCCACTGAAAGCATAGAACGAGGGCGTATGCAGTTCTAATAAGTTGAGATCGACGGCCTCACCTGTTGCGGCTGCTATTGTCTGTACTAGCTTTGTCCACTATTACTTCAACAGTGGCGGGTACACCATGTATCGAGCGAACAACTACGATGGGTAATTGATTTTACTTTTCAAGAAAACAGCCCCTGAGTTGAGGCAGAGTCTGCAACGGTAGAGAACCGGTGAAAAACGAAATGTAACGAGGGGTCTTGCAGCCGTAAGCCGCAGACAAGCACAGGAGGATAACTAAGAGCCGGCAGCGCAACTAGACCGCATACCCACACAGCACAGATACATAGAATTGTACGCAAATCGTTCCAACGTTCGTCTACGAATAAAGGTTAGCGAAGGCTATAGGATGGCCCCAAGTGGAACAACTGAAACAGATATACGCAAAGAGGCAATCAGATAGGCCAAAAGGGCCCACAACATTGACCGGCAACCCAAAATGACTAACCCAGAATTTAACACTCTTCAGCGGCATAGTTACGTTAGTAGAGGTGTACTATGATAGGTTAAATGTAAGTTGAGAGGGGTAGCGGACAAAAACAATATAAACTCGCGCTGAGAGCTTCGCATTCGCCCCCGCCTCTACAACGGCTATCCGCAGAAAGAGTCACTAAGCAGGCTGAAGTCGGCAGGTACAGAATACATCTTGCTGCAAAAGAGGCTAAACAATTTTACCAGGTTTAATCCCTGTAGAGGGTGTTCCGATCGTTACAAGGTCCTTTTTTCAAAAAAATCGGCAACAACAAGTGGAAATAGCTACACACCACAAGGTGAGTTGTATTGTTCTATGCTCCTTTGACATGAAGTGCTTATAAATCGTGATATAAACATTAAGTGGATTTGTTCTTTTATTCTTTTGTCATTATTTGCATATATTATTACTTCGTCTGATATCACTACAAAACGCAATCCCAAATAATTGAATTCTCTAAAACCACACAAAGTAAGCCTGATGTGATTCGAAGCTTTTCCCAGAAAAAAAACTTTCAGATTATAGAGGATCTATATGTAGCACAAGGGGTCGAGGCTGAAATTTCCAAGCCCCCCAGGGTCACGATAATTGAAATAATCTATCGACAGCATTCTAATACAAAAAAAAAAAAAAAAAAAAAAAAAACAACTTGTCCTCTTCTTCAGCCTCAT